ACGTTCTAGGCTATGGGATTTAACATCCTATATTTTGGGGTTAGATATTTCCGAAAAAAATTTCATGTCACCCAATTCTTAGGATAGTCTTTACCATATTGTTCTGTAGCCACAACATGGAGAGGAGGCAAATCCTTAATTGGCCTTCCACTAAGAGCATCATTCTTTACACTAGGCAGATCAAGAATGGCAGCTTTGAGCTCAATAGAAAATATATACTCAACTCTCAAACATAAGTAACAAAGTGATTATCCTAGGTATCACAGATATGAGTATAAACTCTCTCACTATGTTGTCATTCGAATCCTCGAGGTACTCAAAGAACTGTGTCCACCCACAATTAGTAAAGTTTATAGAGTTAGACTATTTACCTGTATATGGTCTACTCTTCACTCAATTATAATCAGCCTGAGAGCATACTCAATTTTGTATCTCCTTTCAAACTCAGATTTCTAAAATTGGTTGTTCTCATCCAAATCAACTTGTAGTTCTACAACCCTGGGTCTCTTCTCTCTATGGGGGCTATCTCACAAACTCTTTAAGATTATAGGACTCATGTACGAAGATAGTGAATAAACCTTAGAAGATATGCTAAGTTTGAGAGTGATTAAGACAAAGGGGGTTTTAGAATTTAGGAGACTTGAGATGAATATGTGTTAAGAATAAGAAGGGGCCATCAATTTCTATTTTTAAAACCCTAGCAACCGACTTAACACAAGATTGCTGAAACGGTCCATGTGTTATCAACGCTTTTTTGACAGCTCAGCTTCCATGATTTCACAAACCATCTCGGACCCTTTGTCCACTCCTCCAAGGAATCCATCAAGCCTCAAAATGCATGCATGCTATATATACAACCTATATGCACACATATGGGTGAATTTAAAACTAAATGTGATGCAATTTTCAATATTTAATTTTATAATCATGAAAATTACACAAATTTACATTATAATAGCTCCATTCAAATTTCATCATCTCATTACATTACTTTAAGGCATATTCAAAGAATATAGAAATAAATTTCAATTTCACTCACAGGTGTTTAAATTTTATTCAACTTGGACTAATTCAAGTGTAATGTCTGTGAAACAAAATTCCAAGACAATTAGGATTTCGCTTAGTTCAAATCATTAATAAGCTCAATATGAAATCCTAATGCATTGTCTTAGTGAATGCATGACCGGTTAGTGAGCGTCCTAATGATTTTTCTTTTTAGACAACTCCAAATTTAGTTTATCCCTCCTACTCTATGACTTCAATTAACAAGATCTTTAATTTCATACTTTTAAAGTATGCTTCTATTCTAAACGTGATTAGCATGAACTTTTTGAGCTTTAAAAATGAGCAATGTCTTTTAAGTATAAGTACTCTCAATAATTTAAGTGCAATTATTTTTACCCATTTATTTTTGTCTCACCTTTTAAAGATTGGCTGCATTGAGCTCTTTTCACACAATTGGCCTTCGGCATCTTTTAAGAGATTGATGTTTAACTAACATTTAGTCATGTGTTCACCTATCACCAATACTTAGAGTCACTTAAGATCATTAATAGTTCAAACAAATAAGACTCCTAAGTATGAAGGTGAATGGTAGTGTGTACTTGGTTTTGGATTTTTTTTAAAGGTAAACACTATCCAAGCATGTTAGGGTGAAAGAGACTTTGATTAATGAATCATGCAATATTATTTATGTCACTAAGTTCTCTATTCCCTAATATGACTCATAGCAATGCACATTTCAATCTCGATTTAAGAATGAAATCATTATAATGCAAATCAAAGTGTGAATTACCATGATCATTAACAAAAAAATAAATAAAATAAAAATCTTTTTACTTTTTCTTTTCTAATATTTTTATATTTTTCAACAACTCAAAAACAAAGAAAAATATGCATACACATGCACTAAACAAAGAAAAGAATGAATAAAGCAATTACCATAAATCCTAAAAAAGAGTGTCAAATTTGACATCAAAACTCTTTTTGGATTTTCTAATTTCTTTTGTTTTTGTGTTTGTCAAATTTCTATATTTTTTTTTGGATTTTCATATAGGAAAACAACTCAATAATAAATAAAGAAAAATATATACAATGTATTACTTTAAGGTGTTTGATGCAATTCAATATTGAGCACCTAGGTCCATACTCTCACCTCTCCTATTTCTTAGGAGACATGACCTTACTAGAAGCACTCAGGGCTTCCAGCTAAGTAAAGATGATGAGTTTATTAACGTCCTTCCTAATCACTCAAACTTGCTTTCCCTTACTTAAACTTGGGTTAGGTCGAGGAATGGGTAGAGAATTAACTTTCTTCTCCCCGAATGTGTGTAGATCAATTTTGACCTTGGGGGTCGAAGGAGTTTTGTGCACTCTAGCATATGGTCCATTTGATGATGATGATGCACGACTATGCTTGAATTCATTAGGCCTCTCTAAAAGCTTAGAAATATTTAACACTTGGTAGTTTAAAGCCCTAGATTGGTTAGCTAAATGCATGAACTTTTTATTTAAGACTTCCTTATCATGAATGCAATGTGCGCTATAATGACCATATTCACTACAAGTAAAACACACAAAAGATTTGGTTTGAGTTTTCTTTTTAACTGGCTTCTTTAAGTGTGTACCCTTACCAATGTCAGTCTTTTCAGAACTTGTGCTTACTTGTGGAGGTGGAGGGTTGGGATAACCCTTTACGAACACGATCTTAGAAAAAGTGGTGGTGTTCTTATTTGTGTAGACTAGACCTTTCTTGTCACCCACACTCTTCCTTATAACCAATATTTCCTTCATTTTTTTGGTGCTTTAGTAGAGTCTTTTCTAGAGCTCTTGCGATTCGTGAAAATCTCTATCAAGTTTGATAGTTTAAACTCAAGACCTTTCTTGAACTCTAAAATCCCTTTATGTTATATCTCAAGGAAGCTCACCTAGTCATGGAGGGACACCTCCTCCTCCTCAAGCCCAACAATATGAGCCTTGGACTTCACTAAGTCCAAGCGAGTATTTTTTCTCATCTCCACTCGTTTTAAGCCTTGTGCTCAAGAAAAACAACTTATCACCTTATTTTAGACACTCTTTATATAATTCATTTTATGCATCTTTGAGGTCCTCAATACTCTTTGTCTCATCCTAGTAGAGACTTCAACATTTAAATTGTCTACATCAATGCTGGGATTCGACTGAACTTCCACTTCTTTTTCTTTGAAAGTTTCTTGTGGGGGAAAGTGGTATGAACCTACAAAGATTGTGCAGTTCCCTTTATCATTTTGAGAAGAGGAGTTATCACTCGTTGTAAACTCACTTTCACTCTTACTCACCTTAGCCTTCAAGGCTCTCCTCCAATCCTTGGGTATGTCTTTTTTCTTATAACTTGGACATTCCATAGCTACATGTCCAAAACCATGACATTCTTAGCATTAGAGACCTTTCCTTTTCTTCTCAACCTCATGTTGAGAAGTTCTTCCCTTACTTTTTTTTCCCTTTCTAGGAGATTTAGTATACTTGGATTCCCTTTCAACCTTGAGGACTTGAAAACGCTAGTCTTCAAATATTTATTGAATTTTCTTGCAAGATAGACTATTCTAGAGGTGACTCAGATTTATCCCCTTCTTTAATTTTTGAATTTAAAGCTACACTCTTCACTTTCTTGGGTGGAAGAAAGTTCATCTCAAATGTCAAAATTGATCCAACTGGGTCTTCAATTAACACTGAAGTTATATTGACACTTGTCTCTATTGAGGTCACTTTTGTATGAAATCTCTCTATAGAGATCTCAAGATTTTTCACTTGATGGCGACATTGTCGATTTTGGTATCTAATACCAAAAAGAATTAAAGAATATCACATAATTTAACATAAAAATCACTAATGTTTCTTCTTATAACAACCTCAAAGTCTCGAACTAAGATGTGTGACTTTGGAGATGGGATATCTTGATCATTCTAATTCCCTCATGAGAGACCACAAGAATATCATATGCCTCCTTGGAGGTCTTGCAATTTATGATTTTCTAGAATTTGTTTGGTGTCACGACATTGAATATTATATTCAAGCCTTTTGGGTTCCACCATGCCAACTCAATATCGGTCTTTGACCAAGTACTTGAGAATTTTACTTCAACCATCGCTTCACCTCGTTCAACTTGTGTGATAGCAGTGGGAGGGCTCCATCTCTTTTGCACATTCAACCACATTCTCTCATCAATAGATTTTAGATATTTTCACATGCGAGCTTTCCAATAAGCAAAATTAGATCAATTGAAGAATGGTGGTACCTTTGTTGCTTTTGAGACTCCATTCAACACTAACTAATAGTAATGATAGATCTCAAGAAGGTAAAACATTCTGCGTGTCTACGTGCGACGAATGACAACCCCGCTCAAATACTAATTATTGTTTTGGGAAGGATAGAAACTATGTAAATCTTTTTTCACAATTATACACGTGGAGCGGAAGACATTATTTAGAGTGGGTGAATAGATTTTTTAATTTAAGCATAATTAATTACAAATTAAAACATAATCTATCACAATTACCTTTTCTCACTTGAATTTAGCAATGAATAGTAAGAATTCCTTTTAATCACCACAAATCTTTAAATTCATGACGATTAATGATAATTAATTTACTCAAAAAAAATTAATTCACTCCAGCAATTAATCTCACAGCGGTTCCGAAACTCAAAACTTAATTGTGTATCAAAATTTAGGTCGGGATGCTGGTCTGTTTCTTGGGGGTAAGTCCTTACAAGTCTTAACAGCAAGGTGTTTCATCCATGACCCTAGCACAACCAATAGAAAGGCATTTTGGCTGACGTGGAATAATTTGATTGGCTGCTTCGCGTTTTATTGCGTTTTAATGTCATAATTGGTTGTTATGGACGCGAGTACATAGAATAATGGCTCTGATCCCCTTCTCTGTTTATCAGATAATCATTTCAGAAAAACAAAAAAACAAAAACAAATCACAGAGGCATACAGAGAGAGAGACAGAGAGAGAGAGATGGTGAGGATGAGTTTCAGCTGTGTGATGAACGCCGCTCCAATCTTGTTTCTTTTGGTTCTTGCTGCATTAGGTACGACTCATAGACTCGGTAAATTTCTCTTCCAATTGTTGTCGCTGCTGTTATTAAAATCTTTTGCAGCTAAGAATACATGGATCTGATCACTAATAAAGTAATGATCTCGTTCCTTTTTTTTTAATTCATCAGTTTCGGCCAAGTCAGGAGACGTAAAGGAGTTACAGATCGGTGTGAAGGTGAATGCCTCTCATTGCAATTCCTTTTTTTCACAATTATCTGCGTTTTAGGTTATAGTTGCGTTTGATTTCTGTATTTTACTGTTAAATTCTTCAACTTGACTTCGATTTTAAGAAAGAGGAAGTATTCCATAAGCAACATCACATTTGAAAATGAACTGAGGCAGACAACCATAAAAAGCATTTAAAACAGTAGCATTTCGTTTTTCAAAACTTGCCGTTTGACTACGTCTGAGAGCTCCTAATTGGGTAAATCCATTTGAATTTGCTTAAGATTGGGATTGGAAATTGTGGAGAGAATTGAGGACTGAGGAGCTTTAGTATTTTTGTTGTGGAAACTCTACAGCTCACAGGAATGGGAAAGTCATTCTACATTACTCCAATTTTCTCAAAGTTTTCTTTAAGAGAGAATAGGGAGGAAGGCTGAAATGGTTGTACGGCTTCCAAATTCTTTTTGAAACGTGTGTTGATTGAACTAATAGATGTTGGGTGAGGGCTTAAAAACCCTATTCACGTACCATTCCTAGACACATTTTTCCGAGGGGCTAGCAGATTTGGGGGCTCGGACCTTTTGGGGGGTGGGGGATAAAGGGTAGCGCTTGACGGAAAGAATAGAGTTTTCTCTGTGACACTGTCACTATGATCCACTCGCTTTATTTTAACAAGACAGATAGCCGTAACTAGCATAGCCCACAAGATAGGATTTCATGGAGTGCTGGAACTTGACTTGCACGGCTTAAAAATATCCGACAAGGAAAACTTTATCAAAGTAGTCAAGAAACCCTCCCTTAAGCCGAAACTGCTTTTTGAAAAAAAGAAAGAAACATATAACAAAGGACTGCCCTCTCGGCTCTGGAACAGGCCGTTGCTTTAGCTCTGTCCAATGTTCAGAATGGTGAATTGATCAATTCTGAAATTAGCCAACCCGAAAGCCAATCACGGTAGGGGAGTCAAGACTCAATGACTAAGCATATTTTTGATTGCAACTTATAAATAATTGATTTCTTCAAAAAAAATTTTGATCCATAGGAAGAGGAGAAATCTTATAACACTCGACATTAAGTCTATGTGTTTCATTCTGACCACTATCTTTTTGAAGCAGGTAGTTCACAATGCTCATTCTATAGATACTGTAAAAAACTCATGATGTTAAAAAAATTGTTTCATGTTTTAAATTCAAGGACATCCATAACCAGCTGAGGAGCTTTAATATTTTTGTTGTGGAACTTTCAGGATTTTTTTTTGAATTATTCGTAGTGCTATTGTGCAGATAATTAAAAGTTGATTTTCATTTGGTTGATGAATCCTTGGAATTGTCAATTTTGTAATTTTGAGGTTTTTTTGAATATCTTTGGCTTTTCCTGTCTCTCAAAATTTCTTTGAAAGCAGTTGACAGCCATGTGGGTCTAATTTGTTTCAAGATAAGAACTGAACCAGATTAAGTATCACTACAATATTTAATTGTCTCACTATGTGAGCTAGGGTGGTAGGAGGCTCGAATAGGTACAAACTTCACCTTTGATATTTAACTGCACAAGGCTGCTGCCCTCATGCTAAACTAACAATCTCACGCTTGATGCCTTTGTTTATTGTCATTTCAATAGGTAATGGCCCCTCATTGTTTCATGTATTTTGCTTTTTAATATTTTAGGATGCATTATACATTTGAGTGACTATTATAATATGTTCAGATTTTGATTTTTGCTTTAGGAGACAAGATGTGACCTTGTTTCAACATATTCAAGTATATGAGAGTCACAACCCTTTTTCCCCTAACCCACCCTGTTCTTTGTTTGGCTTGTAAAATTTCCTTCCTTTGTTGCAGTACAAGCCGGAATCTTGTGAAATCCAAGCTCACAAGGGTGATAGAATCAAAGTACACTATCGGGTGAGCACAATTTTAGCATCTTCTTTTTTTTTCTCTTTATATTGCTCCGAATCCCCCCTCCCCACAAGGGGCATGGGCTCTGGGGTTTCCCTGTTGGTGGACACCATTTGGTTTTAGAATTCATGAAGCTAGGCAGAGTGGTGGAAAAATTTTCTGTTACTCCTTTATAGGAAACAGAATTAAGAAATGGGATATGGATTCCAGATCTCATCACCCATGGCCAAGTGCTAACTGAAGAGGATGTTGAGTCTTTGAAATTAATAAAATGTGTCTCAATGCTTGATTTTAATGTTATTATTTCTCAAATTGATAATATTTTCAACCAACTTGGGCAGGGGAAACTCACAGATGGGACAGTTTTTGATTCCAGCTTTGAAAGGGGTGATCCAATTGAGTTTGAGCTTGGTAGTGGTCAAGTGATCAAAGGTGTGTGGTTCTCCAGCGGCCAGTGTATATGTATTCTGTTAAGAAGAGACTTGTCTTTATTGCATGGATTATGAGTGTGTGTGTGTGTGTATATATTGATGCATGTGTGTATTCGCACAATGTGATGGGATTGCTCATTGATCAGGTGTCCCATCCGGTGGGCCTTAGACTTAGGAAGTAGGCCCTTTGGCCAAGAAATGCTGAGATAGACAGACAGTTTACAGATGTATGTTACCTCATTTTTGACACAGAGCTCTTATTTGAGGCTACCGTATTTCAGACATTAGAAATGCAGGGTTATGTTCTAGGCGGCAGTAGAGTGAATGGATCATACCTCTTTGATTAAACACTCTCTAGGAAAGGAACCAATTTTTATCCGAAGTTGTGACTATTTTTGGGTTCCTTAAGAGTATTTGTAATTGAAAGCATACCTCAGTGTGTATTGGCACATAAGCATGGCAAGAAGTTTATTGGGCCCTGGCATATGGAGACCAGGGGTGAAATTATTTTTGTTTAACAAATTAATCACTGGCAGGATGGGACCAAGGGCTGCTGGGTATGTGTGTCGGAGAGAAGCGGAAGTTGAAAATTCCTGCTAAACTTGGTTATGGAGAGCAGGGGTCCCCGCCTACAATCCCAGGTAATACGTCCCCTATTTTTCTCGTGATGAATCTTTATCTGGAGTATGTGCAACACATTTTTAACAAATCTAAGAGCCTTAGAATGATTTAGTGTGCTATCAAATCCGTGTATAAGTTGGAACATTTATAGAGGAGTATGATAGAACATGTTTTTGATATAACACCTTGACTGTCGAATCTGAACTAATATTTATTTTAATAGTAGTATAACACTCTTATCTGATTTTCCTTAGTTCTCCAGCAAAACTGCTGGTCTGAGTTGCTGACATTTGGTTCCTTTTTAGCTGAATTGGATCTGGTTTGGATCTGGCCTAATATTTAGGCTAGCAATGCTATGTGCACTAAATCATTGCCAGCCGTTAGATCAGGGAGACCCACTGTCATCTAACGGCTGGCAATGATTTGGTGCACATAAAATTATCCTATTTAGGCTGGTTCCAAATCTGTGTGCAAAACTAGCATTTCCGGCTTCGTTGGTATCGGAGTTAAGTAATCTGTGGCTAATATGGTATTTGTGTATATTATATTCTACCGACACAAATATGTTCTCAACAAGGACTTGATTACGGTACTGAAAAAATAATTTTGGTACTATATCTTCTTTTACCATTTTAATAGATATTTTTATGGAATAATGATATATGAACTTAAAAATTAGATTTGATAATGACAACCATTGAATAGGTAGTGAGTCTCAATAAATATTAGAATTCATAGTGAAATCGATGATTATAATTATCAAGTCTATTTTTTAAGTCCATGTAATATTACTAATTTTTATAACTTTTGTGAATCATTTTATAATCAGAATATTTATTATTTTTGTGAGTGAATTATTACTTTTATGGATGTTTTTATCATTGTTGTGAGTGTTTTTATTATATTTGTGAATATTTTTACCATATTCATGAATGTTTTTATCTTTGTTGTGATAATTATTTTTATTATTTTTTGGGATACCACAATAATAATAAAAGAACTCAGAAATGTAATAAAAGTAACCACAAATTTAATATATAGCGGTATGATATTAATTTTTTTTTTTTCCATACCCTAGGCAACTCCTATCAACAATTGGTTCTATTGTCAGACTGCTTATGTCATTGTGAGGCATTTGTTTTAAGTCTCGAGCCTCCATTTTCTTGAGCTGTTGAGTGTGTTTCTCATCCGCGAACCGGAGCCAGTACCTCTTGAAATGATGCGACAAGAGTCTTCGTGACAAGTTCATCATTGTTAGAATATCTGACCAAGAGGCTTCTTCGTGGATGCGCTGCGGTGTCATCTGTGATGCATTGTCAACTTTTTTTTTATTTGATTCTATTCTATCTCAACATTTTACGTTCCCCCCCCCCCCCCCCCCCCCCAAAAAAAAAAAAAAAGTCTTGTCAAAAAATGATTTTGATTGTGAGGTATTTGACTATTTTCTGAACATTCCCAGGTGGTGCGACACTTGTCTTTGACACTGAGCTTGTCGCAGTGAATGGAAAACCATCAAGCGGAGGAAACACGGATGACAGTGAGCTATAATCACATGAAATTTTCGTTCTTCCCTAGTCATCCTGATTTTACTCCAGGTCCATAATTTATTCCTTGGCTTCTCCATTGTAGTTGTTATTATCTTCGGAAAGAAGATAAAAAAAAAATAGCTGGAAGTTGTAATAACTGCTACACCTGATGATTTCTTTGCCACAAACTGAAGTTTTAGGGGATGTTTGTTTTTGTTGTTTTTAATTTTTGCCCAAAAAAAACAAAAATGTGTTTGGTAATTGTTTTGGTTTTTATTTTACCTCAGTTGTCTTGGAAATAGGAAATAAGTTAAAAAAATGGGAACAAAAAAAAGATGTTTTAAGAAACACTAGAAACAAAGGCAACGCGCAAGGGGTGTAGAATTAATGAGATCTGGGTTTCGAGTCCTCTTAGCAGTAAAATAAAGTTTTTTTTATTTTTGGTGAAGTTTAAAAACTCATTTCATTACATCTCTCTTCCCTATGGCTTCTCTCTCTCCTTTCTCTGTATCAGACCATTAGATGAAAATTGTTGCCTCCATCGCTACCTCTGCCTCCATCGTTGCCCTTCTCTCTCCATCGTAGCCCTTTCTCTCCATTGCTACGTCTCCCTTTCTCCATCGTTGCCTCCATTGTTGTGGGTGTTTAGATCTACATTGTTGTGGGTGTGTAGATCTCTATCACTGCCCTTCTCTCTCCCTTGCACTCTATCGCAGCCCCCTCTTGCCATCATTTTCTCTCCCTCTCTCCATCACTGTTTTTATGGTTCTACGTGCGTGTGTGTGAATTCTGAGTAGGTGGAGTGTGATTTCGCTGTGTGTGGGTGTGTTTATTGTGTTGTAGAGAAGACAAAGTGACAAAGAATAGGGGCAGAGAAAGGGGTGATATGTGGGTTTAGGTTACCAAACATAATTTGAAGAAGTTAGCAAACATGTTTTTTATTTTTATTTTCATAATTTAGTAAACACAAATGACTCACAAATATGTTTTTTTGTTTTCGATTTGTTAGGTATTTACTTGACTCACCAAATGTTAATCTACAGTCTCATATTTAATTTTTGGTTCGTTACGGAAGGATGTTTCTAAATAAAAATTTCCTGAACTAGTCTAGTGTGGCTTTCGTCACATTTACCGTTCGAACCCTGTCCATGGGGGAGCCACAGAGGCTAAAAATAAGGGTTTTAAGGTAAAGTCCGAATTTTCAAGCCGAACACATCAAATCCAATCCAATACTCTCTCGGGTTGATCTGCTAGTGGGAATTTTCTTCCCCATGGAAATGCACAAACTTGGGCCCACAACTTGTTGGACACTAGGAGAATCATCCCAGTAGCTCAATACTATCGGGAGAAATAAACGACGGAAAAAAAAAAAACAAAGTATAGACAGCCGTAGATAAAAATCCAGGGACAAGAGAAAAATCAGAGACAATGGAAGGAAAGATCAAAAGCAAATGAATTAATCTTATGGTTTGTTCGGTACGAATGATGAAAAAAAGAAGGAAGAAAAAGTGAAAGAAATAAATTTTTTATTCATAAAGGAAATAAAATTATTTTTTCTCATTTTTGTTTGGTAGGAGGAATAAAAAATATAAAAGATATAATTTTTATTATTTGATATTAGATGAAAAATTAAGAGAAAGGAAAATTATGCATACCCAATTTTATAATTCTATCCTTTAAATATATTATGTGAATTTTAATATTACAAATTAATCCAATCATTAGAATATGGTAAAAAAATAAAATAATTCTTCAAAAGTCAAATTGTTATGCCTTTTTCTCATTTTTTGCCCATTTTTTAGGGGAAAACAAATTGTGAGCATAATGGAAAACCCTCCCTCTAATTTTTCTTTCCATCATTGTTTTTTTGTTATTCTAAACAATGATAATTTTTTCCATTCACCCTATTTTCCCTCCGATCAAAATTTTTTTTCCTTAAACAATAGATCAGTGTTTTGTAGGCCCATGTTTCATGTTTGTCGAAGTCAATGTAATGTCACGCGAAGCACCAAATCACGTACTCCGCCAAGAGACTAGAGGCCGTCCTTATCCACCAATGTGATCTCTGGAAGCATCCGCACCCTTCGTCACTCTTCCTCTCACTAAACCCTATTTAGAACTCTCTAGAACCGGCTTCACTCTTTCTCACACAATATAAATCCTCTCTTACGTTGCGCCACTCCAGACGCTGCGACACTTTCTACCTCTAGATCACCTGTTATTCCTTTTTTTCTCTACGCTCACACGAACCTTTGCTTTTTCTTCTCCAATTTTTTGGATTTTTCTTGAGAAATGGATGAGGATTTTGATATTCCACCGGCGGAGGGGATGGATGAGGACATGGATCTGCCGGAAGACAGTCCGGTTGTGAAGGTCGGAGAGGAAAAGGAGATCGGCAAGGAAGGATTGAAGAAGAAGCTTGTCAAGGAAGGTGAAGGTTGGGACACTCCTGATAATGGCGATGAAGTTGAAGGTATAGATCGTACTGGTTACTGATCATACGATATGTGTCTGGTTGTGTTTTATTTGATTTAGTTGCGTTTGAATTCTTATTGATTTGTGCCGGTACTGATCGAAATGTGATTGATTCGAAATTCAGTTCATTACACTGGGACTTTGCTTGATGGAACTCAGTTCGATTCAAGTCGCGATCGGGGAACTCCGTTCAAGTTCACTCTAGGCCAAGGTAGCGTTTCTGTTTTGATTGTGTGGCTTGCTGATTAATTTGTAATTCTAAGCACTATTAATGTGTGGATTATGCATTATTGTACATTTTAGTTTGTGGAAATTTTATCTTTTACATATGTTGCAGCTGCATTGTAACTAGTTTATTGTTGGCTGAAATGATTAATTATTCTTCTTACTCAATGTTACCGATACTTGAATACTGAAATCGTGTTTCACTACTTAAAGACTGAAATTGCTAGACTCTATTGCATTTGTAATAATAGTCGCAATACTACTAGCTTAGTTTCTGATGCTTTATCATTGTACTCTTACGTTGAGGAATAATGGTCAGACT